TTCATAATTGGCAGAAAGCCCACTTCTAACTTAGCAGAAAGTTGGATCTGACTGTTAAATGTTTGATTGATTTGTAGCAGTTGAGCAAAAGTACCTGATTCCCAGTTAATTCCTAAGGGACAGTAGTAAAGCATCTGCCCAAGTTCAGTCCTTACTACCCAATTAAAAATAGATCATGGAACAGAAAGAAAGCAAACATTCACATTAGCCATTTATGATGCCAATTAGCCAATGTTGTGATAAAACAGCACTAGACTTTATATCACCATAGCAACAGCTGGGTTGCTACCAATCAATCACAAAGGTGAAAAGGCTCTTTTGCACCTAAGCGTGGCACAAAAATGCTTTGGCAACATCCATGTCTACTGTGTCCCCTGATGTGCCTCAATTTCATCCTCAGCCCATGATTAAGGTAAACATAAGTCATTCTTAAATCATTCTTAAGCTGTATCACTGTTAAAATTGTATTTTTCTTCTTATTCTAATTCTACCCTAGGGTATCCCCTATAAGCATGTAAAATCTTAAGCTTAGGAAGGAGGTCCGAGGAGTGCAGTGAATAGAAACAGAAATAGAGGCAGGATTTATAGTAGACCACTCAATGTGACATGATGAAAAAATAAATGTTCTAATATACCAGGGGGGGGTTCTACCAGCCCAAAGATGAGTAGAAAATAGTGTTGTAGCTCAGCTCTAGAAAAGAGTCTTTACTATTCCAAGTCAGAATGAAAACTGCAGACATTAATGAACAAATAGTCCGATCTGGAATAAAGTAACATCTTCAGTTCCTACTAATATCCATAAAAGGGTCTTCTTTCCACCTACTGTTGGCTGAAATAAGAAATGATGTGTGAGTGGCTGAGTGATAAGGAACTGAACCTTGAGCCTCTTGTTCACAAGCTTTGTATCTAAGGGCTTATCTGTGCCTTGTTCCCCTTGATTCATAATGACATCTCCGTGTACTACACTCTAGTTAAACAAAACAAAACAATAGCTCAAATCTCGGAAGCCAGCTCACTGCTATAAAGGGTGTATCACAGAATAAATATCAGTCAAGGCCATTTAAATTAGCTATTGAAACCAGGAAGAAATAAAACTAATTTGATACATTTATATAAACTAAATTCTAACAAAGATCACGTGTGACCATTAGAATATGTTAATATTCAACTATTGCCTTAGTTTTACACTGACAACTTGCACTTTTTCTTTATGTTTTGTACATTTTCTTCATTTTTACCAAATGATCACACACCATTTTATGTTCATACACAGGGTCTTTTCTACGAGCAGCATCTCCCTCAGCTTCTGAAATTAACTGTGAGAGTATTAAAATCAATATACTGATTAAAACATTATCCTTTGCTTCTCTTTGCCTTAATGTAGTCCCATTCCTCTACAGGCACAGCTGCAAACAAAATAGAATGCATCAGGTTGGTACATAGAGATTAGCTCCAATAGTTGAACGCTGGATCATCGTTCATTGAAATCACCCTGGCCAGTTTGATATATTGTAGCGGGTCTAGGACAACTCACCACAACCAACTCGCCATGGCCATCTTGCAACAGCCAACCCAGCGTGGCCGTTTTGTCATGGCCATCTTGCTGCTGTCAATTCGCAGTGGGACAACTCACTGCAGGCAATCTATGTAGGATAAGTCAACATGATAAATGTTATCCACCACTGTTTCTTCTACATTTCCATTTTTGTCAATGGAAATAAGGTCGAAGAAAGAGTGGCGGATAATATTTATCATGTTGAGTTATCCCATGTGGAATGTAGATATATATTAACATATCTACAAATATACAGATTCCTTAATATGGATGTACTTGATAATTTAGAGAAACTGAGCATAAACTAGAAGTATCCATCAGAGCCACTTATGAGCTTCCAGCATCCCTGTAGTCACATGATCAAAATTTTAATGCTTAGCAACTGGAATGTATTTATGATAGTTGCAGTCTCCTGGGTTCATGTGGCCCCCTTTTGCAATCTTCTAACAAGCAAAATCAATGGGAAAACTAGATTCACATAACAACCATGTTACTAACTTAACAACTACAATGATTCACTTAACAACTGTGGCAAAAAGGTCATAAAATGGGGCAAAACTCACTTAATAACTCTCTTGCTTAGCGATGGAAATTTTGGGCTCAGTTGTGGTTGTAAGTCAAGGATTACCTGTACTCTATAAATTCTTATAGGTTATTTCTATGTGTAGCAATACAGATGTAGCTGTGTCGTCTTTTTAGAAGACCTCACCCTTCTAAAGCAGAGTAGGCTTGAAGCTTCATAAAGAACCAGAACTGGAACAGAACAGATATAGGTGTGGATCCTACCATCAGGTAAATTTATTTCAGTCACCTCAAACTACCATGGAATCCAGATTTCAGGCAAATCTAGTGCAATCCTTAGTGCATAGCTCCTTAATAAGTGCTTATTAAGTGCTAGTTTCCTTTGGAGTTACTCAGGAAAGTATTATATACACTTTAGTCAGTAAGGAAATAAATAATAGACAAATAAAATAAGGCCATTTTCAGGGTTTCATTTTGCACCAGCTGAAGTTTTGGGTTTGATTTCTGTTTTCCATATTGCAGAATATACACTACAGCAGTGGTTCTCAACCTGTGGGTCGGGACCCCATTTGGGGTCGAATGACCATTTCACGGGGGTCGCCAAACAAGGCTGTCTGCCATTTTCCCCCCCTTTCTTTGGCCATGCCCCTGGCACCCGGTGATGTATAAGTGGTTGGGGGTCACCACAACATGGGGAACTGTATTATGGGGTCGCGGCATTAGAAAGGTTGAGAACCACTGCACTACAGGATCTGTTCCAGCTGAACTCCAGTTTTATTTTTGTGCAACAAATTCCTTCTAGTCCTTTTGCAAAGGAGGTGATCCAATCAATGAGTCATGTAATGGCAGCCAAATATAATCATTAATCTATAAAGCTAAGTAGACATGATCTGGCTTTTTGGATGGGAGGCTACCTAAGTCTTCATTTATACTTCTGTGGTCTAATCTCCTGACAGTAGAGATATACTATCTGAGAAGTGTATGCAACTGCCCCCCCCTCCAAAAAGTAATCTAAAAGTTATAGCCAAGTACTTTGCAAGATGACATAAATGGGAAATGGTTAAATATATTACTGCAAAATAATCATATAAACTATAATTATAAAACTATTAATTTTTATTAAATGTAGTGCAAGTAAAGCACAAGTCCACGTGGCATGCCATTCAAAAATCAACACGGTTCTTGATGCAGTAAAAACCATACAGCTTTGCTTCAGGTGAAGGACAAAACCCACACCAGAACAATAGCGGCAAATATTTGTAGCTCAAGTGTAGGATGAGGGTGAAGGTTCCTTCTCTGAGCTTGTGGGTTGGTTTTCTAATGTTTCTTTACCAGGCTAGGTAACATCTTCAGCGGCGTTTAGGGAATGTCAGTGTCAGTGTTCTGTTTATAAGGGTTTCAGGTGGGGTGTGTGTCAAGTGAGGGTGTTGTGATGGATCAGATTTGAGTCATAAATTAAGGCTTGTGAAGGGTCTTGTGATGGGGAGATTATACCAGGTGAGGGTCATTGGGAGGGTCCACCAGCAATTCACCTCTGAATGACCCTGACCTGATGTAACCTCCCTATCACAAGACTCATCACAAGGCTCTCACTGATGACTTATATCTGACCCATGATGAGACCCTCAAATTACGCATCCACACCTGATACTGTATGGACATTAACATTCCCTAAACTCCACTGAAGATGCTACCTAGCTTGGTAATGAAACATTCAGAAGCCAAACCACAAGCTCGGAGAACAAACCTTCACCTTCACCACCCCAGTACATATGGGAAGATGTAAGTGTATAAGATAAGAGCTTTGCTTTGGGACTATCAATCATATCTCATCAAAACAGTAAGACATTAGGAAGAATCTTTCTTTCTTCTTCTGTTTAACCTTGCTTTCTGTATATATTTAATTTTAAATATATTTAATTTTAAAAAGTCATCCATTCAAGTGTGAAAAAGGACAAGAAAAACAATATAAGACAAAATTAATATAGCCAGACAAAATTAAAATATAGGCAGTGGGAAAGAGTCATTACTTGATTTAGGATCTTAAAGAGGGTACAGTAAATGGAGGGTCTGCAATACAGGCATTACATGTTCCTATGTAACATGTTGGGAGTCAGGCAGCCTATCAGTTATACAAATAAACAAATCTTCCAGATGGTCTCTAAAGACAGCCTCACATAAAGTCCAAGCATTGTATTTTGTATTTTGTATTTAATTTTATTTATATGCCGCCCAATCCCAAAGGACTCAGGGCGGCGTACAGAGTTAAAACAATCATAAAATAATAAAATAATACAGTCATACAGCACAGCCTGAAGATGGATAAGAGACAGGGAAAAAGTATTCAGTTAGCCACACCATAGAATTTCCCAGGTTATATCCGTTAGGCGTTTGGTCTGGCAAGATTCTGTCTGTTGCGTGTAAGTAAATAAAAAAATGAACTCAGGTTGAATTGTTCCATGTTATTTTGGGGTCTAGCCTGACAAACCCTGAAGACCTGGCTCTTCACCCAAGCCTTTGACGAGCTGATTGAATCCCTGTTTTCCTCTTTTTCTTTGTTCCCATCTGGGTTTGTTATCTTTGCCACTTTTACCCTGTATATTGTTATTTTAATATCTTGTTTTAATGTTTTAAATGATATGTAAACTGCCTAGAGCAGGGGTCCCCAACCCCTGGTCTGTGGACCAGTACCGGGCCACAGCATGCCAGCAACCGGTCCACACAAACAAGGAAAAGCCCCATCCTCAGGATACAGGCAGAACACAAAACTAAGTCCCCTCCAGTCTGCGGAAAAAAACTCTCTCCAGGTAACCGGCCCCTTGTGTCCAAAAGGTTGAGGACCTCTGGCCTAGAGTCATTGGAAGTCAGGCAGCATATAAATTTAATAAATAATAATAATTTTCTTCTCTTCCTTTTTCTACAGTTACTGTGACAGTTGGAGGCAGGCAACATTTGCTTGGACTTTATGACACAGCAGGACAGGTAATACATCTCCAGTTTATTTATTTTCAGGCCATAACCTTTCAATCATGAAAAACAAAGCTGTTTTTCTTTCTGTATGACATTCTGAAATAGACATTTTTCATTTCTGTAAAACTATAGAAATATATAGTGTTCTACAAAAAACATCATATAACTGCCACCCTAAACTTACAATATCAAATATGAATAATTAGAGCAAATCCAGTTTTCCATATTCAAAGATGTTGCAGGTTTCGCTTGGCATAAAACTTTGACGAGGTCATCCTCTTATATCATTAATCTCAATGCTGTGGAGTGTCTTACTTTATCCTGCTAGCTTTGTTTCTGGCATTTTTAAATTGATTTCAATTTTCGCCTCTCAGAACAGTAGCAACTTGAGTGAAGGAGCCAGTCTCATGGTTTACACTGGCAACTAGCACCACCTTCTGGTTAATTTAAGAGACGGTTTCTAAAGCTATGTTCCACATAATATTAGTATTTCTGAACAACTTGAGGAGCTTTAGACCATCTTCAAAGATGCTGAAATATTTCATATTTTTGAAATAAGAAGTGAATTCCCAGCAGTTACTGCAACCAAGACTAAATAGCAATTCACAGTTTCATCCTGTGTACTTGTTTGCTTTGACAGGAGGACTACAATCAACTGAGACCCCTCTCCTACCCCAACACAGATGTGTTTTTGATCTGTTTCTCTGTGGTAAACCCTGCTTCCTATCATAATGTCCAAGAGGAATGGGTTCCGGAATTGAAAGTCTGCATGCCACATGTGCCTTATGTTCTGATAGGAACACAGGTAAATGACCAAAAAGAAACAGTGGAAATGTTCGTCACTGGTAAACTAGGGTACTCTGTGAAACACAGACTAGTTGGGGAATAGCTGGGGAAACTTTCCAACAATGAATTGTATTTTATCACAAAAGAATCCAAAGGCTTCCAAAAATGAAAGAAGTTCGGTGGTTTGTCTCATTTTAGGCCACCGTAATTTCGGAGGTACTGAAAATGAGGCATCTAAATTTGTGTAGAAATCAGCATGGAAGAAATAACACCTCACCTACGAGATGTACTCAAATAGCTCTGGGCATTTTGCTGCAGAAGTTTATTGTTTGAGAATTAGAGACAGGGGTCTAAGGATATTTAAGTTTGGTGTTTGTCTATACATTTCTAGATTGACCTTCGAGATGACCCCAGAACTTTGGCTCGGTTATTATACATGAAAGAGAAGCCCCTGACTTATGAACATGGCATCAAATTGGCCAAAGAGGTACTGTTTTCCTTCAACAACAGTAGTAGTAGCTAAACTGATATCAGCAAAGTTAAGCCAAAGGCCTTTCTCTTTTTCTCAGGGCTAAACACAGCAGAGATTTCATTCAATCACCATTGCCCCCTAAGAAATATGAAACAATAGATATATCTAAGAGCATTGTCTTTGCAGATCTTGATTTAATTCATTGTATAGTATAATTTATTTTCATCATCTAAAGTCTTTACTACGCTGGCCCTTAAGAAAACCTTCCCCAAACTGGTAGGCTTCAGAAATAAGTCCTAGCATTCCTAGACATTAGTCAATGGAATTTGGGTTGTTGTTATCTCAATATATCTGGAGGACAGTTTCAAAAAATCTCCCTACTTTTAGCATTGGCCTCTCACTGATTTCAGTTATGTGAATAGCCCCAGTCATGTTGCCATTATTTTAGACTTGGTTCCCAGCTTAATAGATACACACATTTTAATTATTTTACTTTGATACATTTCTTCCATCTAAGAAATTGATGGAACCAGTTTAGAAACACTGAGCTAGTTATCTATGGAGTTTCTCAGTCATCCAGATTATAGTTGTCCCAAAGGTACTTTTTCATAAGGCAGTTGAATTTTCTTGTTTTTCTTTGAAGACGTTTTGCTTCTCATCCAGGAAGCTTCTTCAGCTCAGAGCTGAAGAAGCTTCTTGGATGAGAAGCGAAAGGTCTTCAAAGAAAAACAAGAAAATTCAACTGCCTCATGAAAAAGGATCTTTGGGGCTGAGATAGTTGGGGCAGCACCACAAACTATGAGCAACCCTTAAAATACAATGCCTATATTTTTAACTGTACAGTGTATGGCATTCTAAGAATTACTCTCCTGTTTTGGCCATGATCTCTGTAGAAGACATCCTCAGGGGACAGGGAGGAGGCAGGGAAGCCTTGGATAATGATGAGGGCCCAGGAACCGGGGCTAAAAAGGGCAAATGAGAAGAAGAGATTCCTACTGCTAGAGTACCTGTCTGCATTCTCGGATGATATGGGGGATGTGGTCCTATTGCCCATGGCTAAATAAAATTCAGTAGTCTGGTCAATTTAAACCCAGCACTGTGTACATCTTAGTTACATTTTGATGGGAATTAGGAAAAAAAGGGGGGGGGTAAAATTCAGTAGTCTGGTCAATTTAAACTCAGTACTGTGTACATCTTAGTTACATTTTGATGGGAATTAGGAAAAAAAGAGGATAACACCCTCCTGGCTTGCTCCTAGGTTCCCAGAGGCATTTGGTACAGGATGCTGGACTAAGTGTGCCTTCGGTCTGATCCAGCAAGGTCTCTTTTTCTACTTTACTTCTTATTGTCTCTTTCTCTTTCATTCAAGATTGGAGCCCAATGCTACTTAGAGTGTTCAGCTTTGACCCAGAAAGGCCTGAAAGCTGTCTTTGATGAAGCAATCCTCACAATCTTCAATCCCAAGAGAAAGAAGAAACTTTGTGCCAAGTGTTGCAGCTGCTGTTCAGTTCTATGATGCCTGGAATTCAAAATGGACCAGAGTTGCCAGTTAATAGTCCAATCCTGCACAGAGGGACATGACCAGAAAAAAAAACTACTTTATAAAGTGATTCCTCCTAATCTGTGATTCCTCTCAAATGCAACTTTGTTTACTTTTCATGCCCTGCTTGTTTGTTTGTTTTTTATCACTGCGCATTTGTAGATACAAGTTCATGTTGAGATAACTTCTCTGTGCTTAGCCAGCAGATAAAAAAAACTTTAAAAATTCTTGATATAGTCAGAATCCATGATGCACCTGGAAGTAAAAAAAGATCTAAGGATCCTAATCCTGTAACTGATCCAAAAAGAACAAGTTTTGTCATTAGCAATCCACAGGAAGAAATTAGCAAATCCCAGTATTTTTTTTCTTTTTACAACCTTGTAGTTCAGGGGTGTCAAACTTGCCATGTCACATGACGTGTCACAACATATCACGACTTTTCCCCCATTGCTGGAGCTGGGGTGGGCACGGTTTCGGCATGACGCATCCAGCCTGCGGGCCTGCAGTTTGACACCCCTGCTGTAGTTCCTTAATTCAGGGCAGATTCAGGGTGACTGGATACAGCTGAGCATTTACTGGCCGGATGCCCTTCCTGATGCCTACATGGAGTTCACAGCAGATATTTGTTCACAGCAGATAGTAAATCCCAGTATGAATATGCAATAATGATTGAACTTGAAACACACAAAATAATATTTAGACATTTTTAGGAGTTGACCATGTTGACACGTGTAGAAGACCAGTGTTTCAATTCAGTCTTTCCAAACTGAATGCACAGCAATAGCTTTGAAATAGATGGCATAGAATACAAAGTCATTCAAGTACTATTCTTGTCTTGCTTTTATAAACGAAGAATAATCCAAAGATGCTCTCAGGTTGCATTGTCATGTTGCTGTTGGATGTGTGAGAATCCACTTCTTAAATGAAATCTGAGGTTCTCACATTGTGCATTTTTCAAAATCATTTGGAAATAGTAATTGTCTGAATTTGAGAAGTCAGAGGGTGCAGGGGAAAATGTACGTATGTCCTGTTTGCAAATCTAGTCTTCTTTTCCTAGAATATATTTTTTATTCAAGTATATGTAGCCAACAATAACTACAAATTGCTCTTTAAACAGTATAAATCAGTGTTCCTCAGCCTCAGCAACATTAAGGAGTGTGGACTTCAGTTCCCAGAAAGTTTGAAGTCCACCCATCTTAAAGTTGCTGAGACTGAGAAACACTGGTACAGATGATCTCAGCTCAAATCCTGTTCCTAATTACTAATTTTTTTGACAATATGGGAGCAGTTGGCCATTGTTTTCTTCTGGGACACTTTTTATTTTTTTTAACTCTTAGGATAGTCTACAGGTTTGATATTATTCCTTGGTGGTCTTCCATCCAAGTACTAACTACACCTGTAACTGTCTAACTTCTGAGCTGAGACAGGCTAGGACAGATGAGTCACTTATGCTATTTGCACAATCAAGATCAAAAGGCAGCTTAAGGTAGAATATAAGAAGATCCTGAGAAAATTGATATATGCATCTCACGCACATGGATGTATGCTCACACAAAACAGACACACAAACACACACTACCATTCTTACCTCTTTCCCCAACCTGGAAAAACTAGTTTAAACTACTAAAATGCTTACTGGATGCAGGATTTTTATTAGGAGCAGCAGTACATTAGAAGCAATGTTTGCTTCAATGTTGGGATGAAGCATATGCAAAATGGCTTCAACTGCTCTCTTTTTCAATAGCTTCACCTCTTTCTCCCATTGCTTTTGCCAGTTCTGCTGTCTTGATTCAGTCCAATTGGCAATAATCTATGCAGATGCAAAATGATTCCAATCTATGGCCTCCTCTGGTGATCTTTGGAATTGATCCCCTTGCACAGAGAGGCCTGTTTGGCTAGCTTCATCAGTTTAGATGCTATGTGATTGAAAGCACTGACAACTTCTGTTCTTCCTATTAGGTTTAATTAGCTATAAACATATAACTTAGAAGCTACTTGTGACTACAGAAAAATGGTTGTCATTCCAATTCTCACCCAGCTAGGAAACCCCAAGAAAGTACCTATTATAACCAAAAGGCTTTTATTGTTGTAAATGCTTTCTTTGCAAATGTTTTCTACAATTTATATCATTGATACATGATTCTTAAAAGAAACATTTTAAATATATATTTGTGTATGTGTATTTTTTCAATGTGTGCATGAGTGTGTTTATATATGATAGAGACCTTTTAATTAGTTTAGTGGAGATTGCTTGACCAAAACTCTCATGCTACATATGAGTCCTATATGACAAGGATGTTCACAACCTGATTCTTGATCTTTGTCACTGGTGCCCACATTGGTAGATTTTCTATACAGGTAGCCCCTGACTTACAACAGTTCATTTAGTGACTGTTCAAAATTACAACAGCACTGAAAAAAGTGACTTATGACTGTTTTTCACATTTACAACCATTGCAGCATTTCCAGGGTCACGTGGATCAGATGCTTGCCAACTGATTCATACTTATGATGGTTTCAGGGTCACTGGGTCATGTGTTCACCTCTTGTGACCTTCTGACAAGCGAAGTCAATGGGGAAGCCAGATTCATTTAACTATGTTACTAACTTAATAACTGCAGTGATTAATTTAACAACTGTGGAAAGAAAGGTTGTAAAATGGGGCAAAATCAATTTAACAACTGCCTTGCTTAGCAACATAAATTTTGGGCTTAATTGTGATCGTAAGTCAAGGACTACCTGTATGTTGGCTAAAGTTCCACTTCCAAAAGAGATGTCCATATAGAGTTCCCGACTGAATGTATCCCAGGTCCCTGGGACAGGGCACCCTGGCTGGGCCATTTCTTTGGAAACATGATGTTATATGCCAGAACAGAAATTCAGCTGTGTCAGGGCAGACTGGAGAATCTGCAGATGATTTTAGGCCTAAAGTGTGGTTAACATTTGACTTAAATGTTGGGGTCAGCAAGTTAGGTGCCTAAGTGTTGACACTGAGCAGATCTCTTAACATAGTGATTGGCTTGCCTCTGTCATTATTACTTATTGTATGTAGGCAAACATTTCCAAAAGTGACATGTTACTCAACGGGCCAAAGAATTCCACGTTATTCAAGTCATTGCTTCCAAACAGCAAGAAAAGTTTATTCTGAACTATTTGTTTATACCATTGGAATAGCCAGGGCTTTTTTTGTCATAGAACACCTAAAACGGAGTTCCGGCATCTTTTGGGGATGGAACCTTGTAGGGTAGGCAAGGCAGGTTGTATGATATGTGTGAGTTCCGGCACCTTTTTTTTTTTTTTTTTACAAAAAAAGCACTGGGAATAGCTCTAAATAGTTGACTGGTGAGCTCTCTTCCTCCCAGAAGGAAGTCCTCCGTATACATTGGAATGGGGGGGGGGTGAGGATGCAGTTATCTTCACAGTCTGCTGTTCTCTTTTGTTCCCCTAGCTCACCACAAAGTGGTATGCAGTACTGTGAGTCAGAGAAGGAAGACTGACTAGGAAGTGCCAGTGATAAGTAAACCTTCTTCCTGCCTTCAGATACAGGACTATGGGGACATACCAAAATGGAGAGTGGGGGGAGGGTGCAGTTATTCTCATGGTTCATCACTCCCTTTGTTTCCACTTCCCTTAGTGAAGTGGCAGGCATTTCCAGTCAGCTAAGGAGAAGGAGGAAGCAGCTTCTCCCTCTCCTGAAGCCATCAGGGGAGGAGAAACAGCACAAGCCCATATTATAATATGTGGAAAGAAGAATGACCCAAAGAATCACAGGTTGTCTAGTCTACTAGTAAAAAGAAAAATCATTCCAAAGCATGCATAACTTCTTTTAAAGATATTTTTCCCCTAATCATGATGCTGCAAATGTCTACCCAGTTAGCCAGTTTGTCAGTTGGTGTATGAGATGAGGTCCCTTTTGTTGAATATATTATTGCTTTCCACCAATTATTTCTTTCATTATGAAGAAGAGAGGAGGGATCACCTGTTGTCCTATTTTCCATCTCTATTCTGATGCAGTGAAGTGCTGGTGTTTAATAAATATCAAGCTAGATTTTTGCTAATTGAATGGAGTAGGGTGTGTGTGTGTGTGTGTGTGTGTGTGTGTGTGTGTGTGTGTTGCCCTCATCTGGACACAAGTTATTTAACAAGCAGAAGCTTATCAGAATCATCACTGCCAGCCAAGTATGTATTCCAGGATGTGGTGTACCGTGACCTGAGTTTCAAGAAAAAAAGAAGCTTTGAGGGATGAGTCAAAAAATGTAATAGCCTTCTAAGGGATCCTAAGAAGTCCTATAATGAGGTTTCCTCAATCCTGAAACCGTTATCAATCAAATCGCAGTCTAAAGGAGGAAGGATCATAGCTGAGTTGTATAGCACATTCAGTTCCTGGCATCTCAGCTATCATGTGGTAAGAAAAATTCTCTGCTTAATATTCTGCACAACTACTAACAAGACTGTGTTTCCATTCTGTTTCTTGGCTTAGCTTTGCTCCTCTTAATCTATAAAATCATAAACAACATGACATCCAGCCTTCTTTGAATGCTATTCCAAGTGACATAATATAAACAATTATAATAAGCCTAACTCCTTTCAGAAACCTCATCAGTCTAAGGATTTAGAGTAGAACATTCTTTTAATGGAGTTGTGAATTTTTCTCCCTTTTAAAGTTCAAAGCTTCACTATCAATATGATTTAAATCTGCCATTTTATTTTAAATTGTAACTGTACTTTAACCATTTGATTTAGAATTGTTATGGAAGAAGCTCAGAGGACCTGAACTAGCATGGAAATATCATGAAATAAAATTAAAAAAAACAAAACATAGTAATGCACACAGTGATTAGATATAAGCTTGCCTCTTAAATCCTGCAGACAGTGCATGTACAGATGAAATCAGTCCCTGCCCCCCTTAAAGAGATTACAAAGTTTATTGTCATACTGAAATATTCTGCAAAAATTTAACTTAAAAAGCAAAGGCTGAACAGCTGGATGGAATGCACAAGGACTCTACTTGCCAATTTGTGATTACACTCTGACAGCTCACTTTCCTGAGAGAGGATCTTCTGGTAAAAACAACAGGTGTAAAAGGAACAGCAAACTTGTTTCAACAGACATCAGACAAGATGGCTTTTAAGAGATGTAACTCAAAAGATCTCCAGTTTCTCTGCTGACACAACGTCTCAGCACTGTATTCTACAAAATGATGATGGAATTAAATTATGATGATGTCTTTACCAAAGAAATGTTCAAGTTAATCAGATGTAGTATCTGCTCAGTTGAGCGGACTGAAGCCAGTGTGGTTAGAGTCCACGATAGTTCTTGTAAATACTCTACTGATTTTAAATATTGGCTTTGAGCAATCCCCCCATAAATGTAACTAATCAAGGAAAATCACCATTTAGACAGGCAGCTTATGGAGGATGAGAATTCTAATTAATTATACAACATTACCTGAATGTGGTGAAGGAAGAAAAAGAAAATGCTTTACAACCTGTTTAAAAATGAGAAACAGTCTGGTAGCACCTTTTCAGACTAACATATTTTATGAAAAGGAAAACGCTTTCATCAGCTGTATGCCTTTAATAAATTGCCTTTATTATTTTTGTGTCTGTCTAGAAAGGTGCTACCTGACTCCTTCTGGAACTAACACTGCTTTTCTCCTACCAAGGCTTCTCAAACTATAGCAAAATATTTTTTAAAAAAATGGAAAGCAACTTATCCTCATTTCAAGCAAGCCAGTTACTAGAGTTAAGGGTAAAGATATTCCAGCCATCAGAGTAATGGAATATCTAAGCCACTTGGCCTTTGAGTATATGGTTATGTTGTCCCAACAAGTCCTGGGTTGAGAGCTCATGTTTTACCAAGCCAAAACTGTCCCAATTTCTATAGACTTTAGTCACATCCATCCTACTACCTTCTCTTCCACCAACAGGAGTTCTGAGAGAGATTCATTATTACTAGCATTGTTATTGTTGTTACACCAGCAGTGTGCAAGGCACTTTAGAAACTAGCAGTTTAGGCATGCACTATGGACTGCAGTACAGATCATCCTTGATTTACAACCATTCATTTAGCAATCTTTCAAACTTACAAAGGCACTGAAAATGTGACTTTCAATTTACAACCATTGCAGCATCCCCACAGTCATGTGATCATAGTTTGGATGCTTGGCAACCAGCATGCATTTACAATGGTTACAGCATCCCAGGATCATGTGATCACTATTTGTAACTCTTCCCAGCCAGCTTCTGGCAAGCAAAATCAATGAAGTCAAATTTGCTTAATGACTACCTAATAACTTCAGTGTTTGCTTAACAACTATGAAAAAAAGATCATAGAATTGGGCATGACTCACTTAACAACCACCTTGCTTAGGATCTGAAATTCTGGACACAATTGTGATCATAAGTCAAGGACTGCCTTCATTGCATGGTTACTTTGCAGCTAGTCTATGTGCGGAAAGATATCTGAAGATATCAAAAAGGCTCAGCAGATGCAAACTGGTACATGAGTGCAGAAACACAGTAGGGTCATGATAAAAGACCTCCACTAGTTGACAACTACTATCCGTTGCAATTTAATAATTTGATTTTAATCTTTAAATCTATGAACAACTTAGAAACTAAGGGCTGTATGTCTCAGTGTAAACCTGTCTGGGATCAAAGATCAGCAGAAGAAGGCTGCTTAAGGACATCTATATTAACAGAGGTCTGATTGCTGAGAATGCAGGAGAGGTTACCTTCAACATTATTCTCAAGCTGTAGAATTCATTGCCTCCATTACTTCACCCCCATTGCTTCATCCCCATTGCTTCACCCCCAAATCGCCCACTTTCTGCAAACTTAAAAAAAAATGATGATATTAACATAGATTCATATTTTGTTCTTTTTTATCTTTATCTGTATTGAGGTCCTATGGTTTAAGAGGCAAGGAAGAATTACCATGTTGCACGATTGTATGTGCCCAAGGGTTTAACACACTTACAGATTATTATTTTTTAACTCCGTTCTGCATTTCTTTTTAACCTGTTTTAAATCGTATATTATCTTAATTGTTCTTATTGCATTATATTCTCTCTTCCATTACTGAATAAATTCTTCGCAATTAAACCCCTTGAGTTTTTATTTAGTTTTCAGAAGTAAGGTTTTTAGTTGATAA